TGGGGATATAGAGATCAGTGCACGAGGAAAAAATAACCGTTATAAACATACGCATAATTAACAGAGTCCCAAACCCAAAATACATGAAACCAACAATCTTACAGGAAGGATGAGGTTGTGTTAGTGTTGAAGAAATACTGTAAAATCGTAACTCTGGGACAGCCTTAGGAATACACACTAGCACATTTGTAAGTTGCCTGTTCATAACTCAATAAAACAAGATAAACAATTATGGATCCAGCTGGCTTTGCCTCGGCATTAGGTCATGAATGTTCAGGGATGACTTTCCTTATTTATCTCACAGGTGACATCAGGCCACATGTTCACAAGTCAATTCTTTCTGTCAAGGTCTGAGGCTTGTTTTTATAACCCAACCCTCCCTGACCCCCCCCCCCCCAATATATCCTGGTTTAGAACTTCATGACAGCCTTTGAGTAATGACAGCTGATCTGAGTCTTTGTAGCCGAACCCACATGGCCTCTCCAAAGCCTAAAATATTAATAGGCCCATTACAGAAAAAGTTTACTAGCCCATAGCCTAATAACTAAATAATCCTTGGGTGGGCCTGGCAGATGGTATTCCAGAAAGGACATAAAAACATGTGGTCATCACTTCATTTCCAGTTTGCGTAACTCTCTTCAGCATGGCCAATCTTGTTTTATCTGTAAGCCCAGGCAGCCCTCTCCTCTCAGAGGTTCTGAAGCAATTCACCGAGAACAGTTTGTTTCTTCCATAAATGTTTGAGTCTATCGGCATTGTATTTTAATATGCAATACCAATGAAAATACTTATTTCTTTTGTAAGCTCGGAGCCAACCATACTGTTATTTATTTTGTTTTATCAAGACAGGGCTTCTCTCTGTAGCCCTGGCTGTCCTGGAACTCATTCTGTAGATCAGAGAACTCCAATTGAGCCACCTGCCTCTGCCTCCTGAGTGCTGGGATTAAAGGTGTGCACCATCACCACCCAGCAATTTTCCTTTATTTTATTGTAAGACAAGGAGGTTATCGAGATGTTCTCTGACTTGTGTATAAGGTTTAAAAGAACAGAAAACTTGTTTTTTTTCTTCCCAAAATCTGGAAGATGAGTGGAGATTTCACAATTCTCCCCAAATTTCTCCCACTTATTTATTTTTTCTGGCTGACCAAACCCTGGGAAGTGATGACAGGAAATCAAATCACTAAGATCATTAATGACAGCTCCCACAATTCTCTGCTTTAAATCAGGGATTCATGGTCACTAAGCACACTGCATTCCTGGGTGTGCAGAGGGTACACGGTGACTAGGTTTGGAGTGTTTACGGCTGTGGCTTTGTTTTTCTCCACACTCAGGTCCATTGCTCTCCCATCCCTACCCAACGACAACTTCCAGAGGAGCCTCTTATCACTACATAGTGACTAGATGTGCAAGCATGAAACTCGAAGATCCAAGCAAAAGCTGGTTTTCATGTCCCTTTGGGGAAATACTGATGTCCAGGTCTGCCCTCAACCTCCCCAAACCTTGACTCTGGACTCCTTGGTCCAGCCAACGGATCAGATCCAGTCCCTGGAAGACAGTCAGGGACACCCTGCATCTCTTTTGGGTAGCATAATTGGAATCAATAAAGCAAAGAAGGCCACCCGGCTGGGGAATCTCATCAGAAGTGAACTTGAGACACGAAAAATGCAGGCAGCCACCTTGTCAAGACGCCAACGACAGGGAAAAAAAAACCCAAAAGGCAAACTAACGCCTCGGATATTTAGCTCACTCTTGCCTGTCACTTAATTGAAGGAACACGACAACACATTTTAAGTATTCTGTAGATTTCTAAATGATGAGAACGTTTTGAAAAACTATTACCTTAAAAAAGACATACATGATTTAGAAATTGTCTTAATATTGCAAATCAAGCACCTAGGGAACCAGGGGACTGCCTGCAAAGTCCAGTGGTTGTAAATAACACATTATAAGACATCCGGTCATAGCTAGGAAGTGCCCTCTGTCTTCTCCTCCTGGGCTCAGTGCTCCCCGGTGGTCACCATTTGCCTGGCTTGCCAACGGTCAGTCCAGTGGCAGGAGGTAGGACGTAAACACACACTCACAAAGGGTTCTTGCTATATCTCAGCTCGGAGCTCAGGCAGTCTCCACGACTGTGATAAACCGGCTCCTCCATTTCTCCGTGTGGAGGATTGCTTCCTGAGTCAGAAGAGTATTTTCTCAAAGGCATTTTCTCTTTCCTCTTCCTTGTCCCTCCAACACCACGTAGGGTCAAATCTAGGGGCGATGGCACATGGCTTTAGTCTGCAGGGGTCGGGCAGATCTCTGTGAGTTCAAGGCCAGTCTGGTCTACATAGCAAGTTCCAGGTCAGCCAAGGATTACAGTTAACACCTTGTCTTAAGAGAAGAATCTGCCGGGCTGTGGTGGCGCACGCCTTTAATCCCAGCACTCGGGAGGCAGAGCCAGGCGGATCTCTGTGAGTTCCAGGCCATCCTGGGCTACCAAGTGAGTCCCAGGAAAGGCGCAAAGCTACACAGAGAAACCCTGTCTCGAAAAACCAAAAAAAAAAAAAAAAAAAAAAAAAAAAGAGAGAGAGAAGAATCTACGTGACTGTTTCCAATCCTGCTCTTCCTGAGTGAAAACCTATATAACCCATGTTTTCTCGCACATGCCAGGCATAGTGGTGACTTTAGCACAGCAGAAGGTCCCGAGTTCTCATTCTCTGGTACACTGCAAGTTCAAGGCCACCCTTGCCTCCACTAGTCCCCGTTTCAAAAAGCTAAAACAGACTTCCTTTTGTGAATCAATACAATAGTTTCTCTTTATCTACGGCTTCGCCTTCAATAGTTGCAGTTACCAACTATGACCTGAAAATATTAAATGTAAAATTACAGGGCTAGGCAATTTGTGACTTTTATTAGTTTAAAAATAATTGTCTTATTTTGCTATCTTTCTGGGGTCTATGTGTCCTTGTGATGTGTGTGTATTCATGTATGTGAATACAGGCATACACCATGTCACAATGTAGGATCAGAGGGTGACCTCCGGTGTCAATCATCACGTTCTGCTGTGGGACAGGGTCTCTTCATTGTTTTTCTACTGTGTATGGCCCACAAGCTTCTGGGGACGCCCATACCTTAGAGTCTCATCTCTGAGTGCTGGGATTACAGATGCTCCTGCTACTGGGTGTGTTTTATATGGATTCTGAGAATTTGAATTCAGGTCCTCATGCATGCATGGCCAACATTTTTACCACACAGACTCATCTCCCCAGCTGCCCCTCCCCTGCCCCCTTTTAGAGACAGGGTCTTGCTAAATAGTTCAGACTGGCTGAGAACTTGTGATTTTCCTATCTCAGACTCCTAAGTACCAGGGTTGGGCAGGAACCACCACATCCATCAGATTTAGTTTGTAAACTAAACTCTTTCACAAATTTGTCCATATGCATAAGGAAAGAATGTATTTTACACAGAGTTCAGTAGTATGTGTTTTTTTCAGCATCTGACCGGATCTTGGTTAAGAATCCTCAACAGATTAACGTCTTGTTAATATTTGTTAGATTGCTTTTAACTTCTTGGCTTCTAAAAGGAAACAGAGACAGAGTTTCTCTGTGTAGTTTTGGTGTCTGTCCTGGATCTCCCTCTGTAGACCAGGCTGGCCTCAAACTCACAGAGATCTATCTGCCTGGCTCTGCCTTCCGAGTGCTGGGATTAAAGGTGTGTGCCACCACCGCCCGACATTCTTTGATGTTTTACTCCACTTGTCAAAGTTACTTTAAAGATGGAACAGCTTACAACTTATTTTTCTTTTAAGAGACGCAGAGTTTTATGTAGCCCAGGCTAGTCTTAAACTTGCCGTGTAGCTGAGGATGGCCTTTAACTCTTGATCAGTTCCCTCCTGAGGGCTGGAATTACAGGCATGTACCATGTGCCTGGGTGTAAGTTTTTATGAGCACCTAGAATGCTTTGATGACTAAAAGTGGGGGGTGTCTTAATTCTTACTGTCTTCAGTTAAGAAACCTCTCAGGCTGGGTGGTGGTGGTGCACACCTTTAATCCCAGCACTTGGGAGGCAGAGGCAGGCGGATCTCTGTGAGTTCGAGGCCAGCCTGGTCTATATCCCAACCTCTTCCCAAGGGACCAACGTAGGGAGCAGAAAGATTGGAAGAACCAGGGGTCAGGGAGGATTAGATCCAAACAGTTTCCTCTGCACATGACCAGAAGCCCGTACTCCAAAGCTCACAATGGCTGTGGCTGCTTTAACATCTGGCATGGCGGATTGAGGGGTTCCCAAGCACCTGACCCTGCACTGAGGAGTTACATGGATAGCTGATGGCTTCCGAGGAAGGGAAGAGTCAGTTTTAAGGGTATGGCCACTGACAGATCAGCCATGTTCCAGTGGCCTGTCCCACATCCAGGACTACATGGGCAGCACAAACTGGACTTATAAAAAAAAGAGAAGAGAGGGGCTGGAGAGATGGCTCAGAGGTTAAGCGCACTGGCTGCTCTTCCAGAGGTCCTGAGTTCGATTCCCAGCACCCACATGGTGGCTCACAACCATCTGTAGTGAGATCTGTGCCCTCTTCTGGCCTGCAGGTGTATATGCAGGCAGAAAAGTGTGTGCATGATAAATAAATAAATCTTTAAAAAAAAAAAGGAAATGTAAATTTGAAAAAAAGAAAAGACAAGACATAAAGGTATGTGTGTGGGTAGGGGATAGCGGTGGATCTGGGGGGAGCTGGGGAAGGGGTGCTGTGGAAATGACTAAAATATATTGTATAGAATATTAAATTGGAAAAAAATTACTCTTGGGGATGATTTTTCCCTCTAAAATCCTTTGTGTGATTACACATACATACATACATGACAGACATATTATACATGGTGACTCTTCCCTTTAGATTTTGAGTGTGAGCTCACAGGGAACCACCTCACATTAACCTGTGATACTTTCCTATCACTCCATTCCCTGACAAGAAGAAACTGCACAGGGACTTCAAAGACAAGAGACAAAGAACACTTTGCTAAAGATGTCCTATATACATATTTATATATACATATATAGCATTTTATTTAAAATGTCATTGAGCATATACAGTTCTTGGGCTTTTTCCAGGGGACACTGCACCTAAGGTTCAAAACACACAAAATAGATCCCCTTTAAACAGTTCTCGTTTTGGGGGTTTACAAAAGTCAATGTTTCACAATCACAAAGCAGAAAAGTACAGGATTCTGAGACCATTTCCAGGTAGATTCCTCTCAAGTCACCGTACGCGGAGGAGTTTTGGAAACCCAGACCATGACATACATATTCTTACAAACGATCCTTACTAGGGGCCTCCCTGGGTTTCCAAAGAGACAAAGAAAATTAGAGGCAGAACAGGAATGGAGGAGCAACCGTGGGACCCCCCTAAACACACACGAAATACTCATCGAATGAGAGGAAGGGCGGAGGACACGGGCTCTCCAGCTTCAGCCCACCCCAGCTGAAAAACACCAGTACAGATACAGCCTTATTTGGTCACGGCCTACTTGGTTGCTACATGAACACAACTTCACCTAGGACACAGAAAGGAAAAATTAAAGCTATTTACACAGATAACGTCATGAATCAGAAAGAGCGGTATTCCCCCAATGGCGCTCACATCTGACAGAAGGGCTGGGGGGGGGGGCTCACAGAAAGAGGCAAGCCAGCCAGGCTGCTCACCTAGTGTCCCCTGAAAGTTCCAGTGTACACACAGATGCCACCTTGCCACACAGCACCCCAAGTTTGCTCAGCGAGGTGGGCCACGGCCTACAGGCCCTTGCCATTCGGAGCTCCGAACACAAAATTCTGTCCCGTGGCCGAAGGCCGCTCCACTCTTCCATCTGGTAGGCAGGCCTCAGGGTCAGGCGGTTTGTTCCTTTGCATAGACAATTTCATTGCTTCCTCCAGCTGGCCCAGGAGGAACAACTCACTGAAACTAAAACCTCATCACTGTACAACATAGACACGCTGAAGACGTCAGAGATCCTGGCTCACCTAAGGAAGGGGGGCGACACCTTCACACTAGTGCACCCAACAGCAACCTCTGCCCCCCCCTTGTTCCTTTGCAAAATACAGCAGAGGGGCTGATGAGGAAGGAGGCCAGGGATGGGGGGGGTGCGGGGAGGGGGGGGGGGGGCGCGAAAGAAGGGTCAGCATTTTAAAAAGACACCTTCCCAAAGGGATTCTAAACTAGCAGCCTTGGGATACTGAATTCCCCCATCCAAACGGCTAAGGCCTGGAGGGCATTTGGCTCCAGGGGCTCCCACGCTTGCCCTTGGATATCCACCTATGGGTACAATTCCCCTCAAGAAAGGGACTTTCAGAGAAGCGTGGTGGGAAGACCCAGCTGCCTCCACGCAGCCCCTTGGAGGTAAGACGTTAGGAATTTAAAAAATCCAACACTCCAAATCCTCCAACATTGAATACTGTGGAAAGTAACTGAAGCGCCGGCTTCTCGGGCTTGTCCTGGTTAGACAGCTGTATATTTGGCCCAGCTCAATTGCCACTGCTCTCTCTTTCTGCCACAGGGACAATCGTTGAGTACACAACCCCAGCAGCCCCCTTCCGAGAGTCTTTGGCTGCTGACATTTGGTGTGAAGAAAGACAAAGCTTTAGTTACCACCTAGTAAAAGGCTTCAGAGTTCACACTCTTTAGGGAGGTACACCACCGCCCCAGAGCAGGGGCCAGGCTGAGCCAAGAGATTTAGGGTTGAAAGAGCCTTTCATTAAAGGAAGTAGCCACACAACCCCCAAGACACCCATAAAGCCTTGACTGGGAAATCAAATGCTTTTCATTACACAAGGCTTCCTCGGAGGCAAGCAGGTCCGGCTGTAAGTCAGGCAGACATAGTTCCTAAACACACAGAAAGACATTTTGCAGACTTCTGGGTGTGTTGTCTTTTGACCTTTCCAGAAATGCTCCAAGGACCAACCTGGGACACAGACGTTACTGTTCTGGGACAGGGTGACTTGGAGCCAGGGTGAACAGTGAGCAAGCCCAATGCACAGAGCACTATCAGTGCTGGGTAGGTCTGCCATGGGCATGAACAAATCTCTCTCCACACCTTTGATCTATGTACCTATTTGTCCCTCCCCACAACACAAACAGGGCTGCTGACTAAAACCTTTCCACCCACAGGGTCTCCTGAAGAGAATTCCCAGATACTTTCCAACCAAAACCAGCAGGACCCTGGGGTTTAGGATAATTTGAATTCGGGTTTTCCAGGCTTTGTTCTGCTTTGTTGTCCTGAGATGCGCCTTGGCAGTAAATGAACTGGGAGAATGTTGTCACACCACCTTGTAAGATATTTACACTCCAATTGACTCTGGTGGCCCTGAATATGACTGGAGAAGGTCAAGGCGAGAGCCAGGGGGGAGTTCAGAGAAGCAAAACTATGAAAGGCATTGAGAATATGGCCACGCCCCCAACGACAGCGGCTCAGGTCCTCCTCGGAACTTCGAGACTTTCTCGTTTCCCGTTTGCACATGACTTCGAGAACTGGGCAGATGCGGGGAGAGGACCACGCTGCTGGGACATGCCTGAGCGGTCTCCCACAGCATCACCTTCTTCCAGAGAAGCAAATGGTCGCCACAAACCACTCCCGATGACGGCGAGGTCTGGGGTGGTAAGGACTTCCTGCAGGAGGAGGGTGCACAGCCAGATGAAGATGCTCCCGACAGGGCAGCAACCTGGTTCCCAGGCAACAAGTTGGGGCGCGCGCGCGCGCGCGCGCGCACACACACACACACACACAATGTCCCCTGCCGGACTGGGTACTGGTTCTACACAGTGGGGTGACTTTGTTCCTGAGGAGGAAGGCACCAGGCCTTTCCTAAGAAATTATCTACAATTCTAGGAATTCGGATGACTTATCAGCCTGGGGGATATGCTCCTCTGCCCTCCTCCTCTGGGAAGAAAGAATTCTCTTAAACACAAGAGCTGGAGTCGCCTCTCCAGCGTTTTAGGGAAATTACACCATTGGTTTTTTGTTTTTGTTTTTTCTCTTTTTCTTTGCTGGGTTGGAAGAGTGTCTGAATCACGCCAAGCTGATGATACTTGGAAGACTAGAGGAACAGGACTATGCAATCAGATGTTGATCTGAGGGCCCCGGGGGCAGAGCAGAGGTCTGCTCAAGAGGCAGGCGATTCTTAAGCTGGACCTTGCTGTTCCTCCCAGCATGGAAGCAGGAGGCAGACAGGACACCCAACACGTGTGCTTCTGCTCTGCCTGTGAGGCATGCGCAGTGGGGGAGGCGGATGCGCAGGGGCGGGGTGGGAGTGGGGGGCACTCAGCTCTCGGGATTCTACATCGCGATTCCCTTGAGGAAGAGGGTGGGCAGCATGGGAATGACCAGCCCCAGTTCAAATTCACCTTTTTTCCCCTTCCTTTTTTTTTTTATTTTCGAGACAGGGTTTCTCTGTGTAGCCCTGGCTGTCCTGGAACTCACTCTGTAGCCCAGGCTGGCCTCGAACTCACAGAGATCTGCCTGCCTCTGCCTCCCGAGGGCTGGGATTCAAGGCGTGCGCCGCCACCACTGCCCGGCCAAATTCACTTTTATCCTCAGGAGTCAGTCCATCTACCCTTGCATGAAGACGGCAGGAAGAGAGGAAGCCTGAATCCCACACTCGTCCCCTAACGAAGTACGGCTGACTGACGGACAGAAGGACTCCCTCGGCTACTGCATCAGATGCTGCTTCTCCTGTGCGTCTCCAGGACGCAGGAGGTGGGAGAGCACCCGCCCAGGCCAGACGTGAAAAACCAACCTCTCTCGAGACAGTGCAGATGATGGGGGGCTGTGGGTCCGAGGAAACACCCACGGTTTGAAGCACACGCTGACTTGGTGAGGAAAACACAACTCAGGGGGTAAAAATGTCATACAACAAACTCCCACACGGGGCATTGCTCTGGACGTGTGTGTGTGTGTGTGTGTGTGTGTGTGTGTGTGTGTGTGTGTGTGTGACAGAGAACATGGGACAAGCCAGATCGGGCTGGTCTCTGATATGGAAACTGTCCAGCAACCAATTGGAAAGTCCCAGTGAAGAAAAATGAGAAAGATTCAAGGAATGTCAAAAAGGAAAAAAAAAAACAAAACAAAAAACAACAAATCCCTGCCTCACCCCATTACCACAAAAGAATCTAGAGGGAGACAGGAAGTGGGGGGAGGGATGAGACAGAGCAAGGCAGAATCCCTGAAACAGCCGGAGCTTTCGACAAGATGGGTGCTCACACTTTCTGAGGCGCGGTCCCTCACTTTGCGGTGTGGCTCTTGGCCTGGAGAGAAGCCGGCAGCTTGACCGGCTGAGTCCTCCTCGGCCGGCCACACCTGAAATGGCTGTCCCTGCTATTCTAGATAAAATAAATAAATGTGTATGCCTGCGCCCCCAAATAGGCAAATAGCCACCTACGAGCCCCCTGAACAGAGACCGAGAGAAACAGAACACCCAGTAGCAGGCTGTGCGCGCGTCTTGCTCTTTCTTATTCAGTGTCCAGACCTGGTCCTCAAGAAGAAATGGAAACTCAAGAGTCATCCTGAAGCAAAGCCAGAGAGGCCTTTTGGCGGCAAATTCCCCCATCTGGGCTGGGAAGAAATTGCATCACCTGGAATCCAGCCCAGGCACTCCCCAGTTCCGCCCTGTTCAGAGGCAACCCAGCTTTCTCTCTCCCTGTCTGTCCTCCCAGTCCCCTGGGTCACTCTCATGACAGTTTGTTCCCGTGTATTAAAGGAATGACGTAGACAGAAATGTCGTCTCCCGAGCCCAGCCGGTCATCTGATATCCGCCATCCTCGGTCCTTCAGGACGCCCCGGGCACGCATCACCAAGTCCTGAGCTGCCAGCGTGTACCTGTGCAGGATGGGGTGGGGTGGTGGGGGAGACACAGGAATAAGAGTCAGAACAGCATGGGCAGACACAAGGCCCAGGGAGACTGGGCAGGAGGCATCGCTCACTATGGCCATACATTTTCCACCTTTAAAATTAATAACAACAACAAGAACAAGCTAGCGAGAGCCATCTTCTCTCCAGATGTATGAGGCCTGATGTGGTTCTTTTGGATGAACAAGGTTCTGCGTTAAATGATCTACATTTCCCCACGGCTCGGCCACTCTAGAGGTTATTTGTTACAATGGACCCAGGAGAATCCTAATTTGGTGTTATTAGATCTTAACAAAGATCCACACCCGCCCAGCTGTCCATGACAAAGAGTACTTGACTAAATAAGTACATGAGAAAAAAATAAAAACAAACAAACAAACAAAACCCCAAACCTAACCCAGGAACTTCTGTCTTCAATGTATTTATTTTTAAGGCTATCTTTTTTTTTTTTTTTGTATCAAAAGGTAGTAGTTTGTTTTCCATTCATGGCTACGGTAAACCTTTTTGAAAAATAGGTTCAAAAAATTTAAAGAAAATAAAAGTACTACATGTGGTTTAGGAAAGGAACAAGGTGAAGGGTGGTGGGCGGGGGTGACTGGGAAAGCCTCCGTGCGGGTGACTTTCTCTGTGCGTTTATCCGTGTGATACTTTCCTATAGTTCACGTAAGGGCCGTGAGGGATCACTCGAGAATTTGAAAAGATGGTTGTTCACTTTCAACAGGAAACTTAAAACCGATGACGCTAAGCTAGCAAAGAGGCGAACATCGAGAGAAGAGGGCGGAACTAACATGAGGGGTTCTTTGCGGGCACCTGAGAATGAACTACAGCCCTGGCAGCTCCCTACTCAGTACTGATCAGTACAGAGAGCCTCAGTTGAGAGACTTCAAAGAAGTCTGGCAGGGCTGGACTTCGTGTGCCATGGATTATTTTCTAAGCCTATGCCAGGAAACAAGTGATTCATCTTTTCTCTCTCTCTGATTTCGCGGTCACCAAATAACCTGCTGATTACGATCTGCCTCCCTGTATAGGCTTGCCTACCAGGGAAGAATATCGCTACTTTTTGTGCTTTCAAAGTATCAGTATTTCTCTGTATAAATGGCAAACTGGCATTTTGGTTTAAAGATCAGTTTTGTCAGTTTGGGGAAGGTGAACCCAGCTCTGATAATGAGTCTGTTACTTGTACCATGATTAAATCACGTTTGGAACCTAAACAGCTAAGAGGCAGGTTCTGATAAGTCACCAGGAAAATAAATGTCAGCCTACGTATGGCCTCTTGGAAGCCGGACAATGGGGCTTTTTAGACGACGCTCACGACCTTTCCCTGCTTGGAGTGACTCAGCATTACCTCTGGGACCTCAGGACAGACGCCCGTGTGTTCCCTCAACCTCCTAAGAAGGTATAGCACTCTGGTTAAAACAGAGTTGCTTTCAAGAATAAGGGTTTCAGCAAATGATCGGGGCTGGGAACTTTCCAAGTTGTACCGCCTTGAAGAATTAAGTCTATTCATTCATACAGCCCAGGTGGCCAGCGAAGTGTGTTACACACCGTATTGTACTGAATGCAAAATGAGCGTCGCCTCCGTGCTGGATGGATAGCGGGGAGGTAGGAGAGACACCTTTCCCTCACCATACTGAGAGGATTAGTGGCTTGATATAGAAGTCTGTTATACTCGAGGGAGGACGCAACCAGCTTGTCCTAACTAAGGAGTCTCTTCTTGTGGTCCAGAAGCAAAGACAGGACCACAAGAGACAGCCTTAGGAAGCAGTTAAGAGCACCTATTGCTCTTAGGAAAGACTGTAGTAGTTCAGTTCCCAGGACGCACACGGTGGTGGTTCAAACCGTTTAGAACTCCAGTTCCAGGGGGTCTGATGCCCTCCACGGGCACCAGGCAGGCATGTGGTGCACAAACAGTTATACAGTAGAACGCCCAAACACATACAAAATAAATAAATATTAAAAAAAAATAGAGAATGACAGCCAAGGAGGCCTTAGGCTGAAGAACTACATGAATACCCCAGTCCCACATTCTACAGATTCAGGACAGTCTAAGGGGCTTGCCTGAGGTCATTTTGAGTTGTATACTGTACTGTACATGTAAGACATAGCCATGAAGTCAGCAATAATATTACCACCAGCAACATCAGGGTGATGCTTATCGTCTTGGTGACTGATCATCTCTGGGCCTTATCTTTGGAGATACAGTGGTGGTGCACAGCTTTTAATCCCAGCACTCGGGAGGCAGAGGGAGGTGGATCTCTGTGAGTTCAAGGCCAGCCTGGGCTACAGAGGAGTTCTAGGACAGTCAAAAACTCGGGGGGGG